AATCTCGCTGTGAACGGGCTCCCACCCAACACTTAATCCCTCACTCTCCCCTCCTCCCTCAACCCTCTTCCTCCCTCACCTCCATCCTGTGTTGGGATCTACTTGCAGCGGAACACATCTCCCGAACCCATAGCGGAAGTCGGCCAGGGACCCCGAGGCCCTCTTAGCAAACATCGCAGGAGCATTTGCCCTTCGCCGCATTATCTCCTCCTCCTGTGCGAAGCTCCTGACTCCGTTGAACTTGCTCGACTCCTCTGCCATCTTCTTCATCTCCTCCTGTACCGACACCTTGGTGCAGAACACCAGCACCCTCGACCCTCCCGTGAGACCATAGCTCTCCAAGCTCCGACTCCTCGCGTCCTCCCCCACTTCCGCGCCCCCGTCCCTCCATGTCGCCTCGCTCAAGATGGCGCCATTGGCACAGACCTTGTGATGGCTCTGACTGCAATCTTTCTGCTGGGAGACCAACTCGTGGAGCTGGTACATGCTCGCATGGATGCAGACAACGAAGCTGATCCCTGCTCCCGCTATCGTCACTCTACACTCGTCCTTGCCTACTTCGAGCGGAACCGTCCTCTGACTTCCACCCTCCTCCGAGCTTTCTTTCAGCCGCTCATACTTTCGAGGAGCGCCTACGTGCCCAGCAGCGATGCTGAAGTCCAGCGGTCTAGGTGCGCTCATAGATTGAAGGAGCAGACTTCGTTTCTCTGTGCTTGACCCTTCTGCAGTGTTCAATCCTCCTTCTATTCCCTTCCCTCCCTCTTGGTTAAACTCCTGGCTAGTCCTCCTTGTTCTCCACACGCTTGACTCGGTATCCCGTCCTCGTTCTCGTCCTCCTCCTGTCTTCCTCCTCCTCCTCCTCCTCCTCCTTATAAGATATAGCTCCGCTCCCTTCGTTGCTCGCCTGGACAGCCTGCCCGACAAAATTTTCACTCAAACCGCACAAAAATCTATAACGGCTACAATATAAAATGTAACGGTATTGCGGTCAATGGGTCATCAACGGTCAGATAGCGTTTTTATAACGATATTTTAGAACCCGTTGGCGTATAAGGCAAGGAGTGGGGGGAGATGGGGGTGATAAGCAGTAAAAGATGGGGTAGTCTGCTGCCGAACCTTTTGAGATCACAGCACATCTTTAAATTGGTTTTATTCGATATCGAGGGACGGTAAAGCATCTTTTTCATAAATCAAAACTATATATTTAATTTATTAAAATAGTTTTTAATCCTGAAGGTACTGTGTACTAAAATGTATTATATAACACCTATTTTTCAAGTCGATCTCTCTTATGTGGCTGCTGACACGGGTCATATGTGTGCCTTCAGGGGCCCTAGGTGGGTGGGGTAGTTTATGAAGGGGTACTTCTCGGTTCATATGGGGGGTGCTTTGTGGTGGTTCATGGGGGCAAGGGGGGGTGGTATTTTGGTTAACTCATTGGGGATGAGATGCAAATCCTCCATTGGGATGTCGGGGGGTTCGGGGGGTGGGTGGAGGGGGGTAGGGGGGTGCAAGGAGGTCTTCTACGTCCAACGCCAAACTTTTCCGACAGTATAGAAATGATTTTGATGAATCTTCAAGTCAATACTGTATTTTCAAATTATTGAGAAATATGGGCTCGAATTTTATCATTTGGGAAACATGAAGGACCTCTGTCGCGGAAACACGTGCTGCGCATGCTCAAAACCTTGCTTTTTCCATCCGCCCCCTTCCTGCCCGCGTCCCTGCCCACGTTGCTGCCAACCAACTATCTACTTCCCTTCCTCCTCTTCCCTCAAACCCTCATCCTTCCTCCTTCCTCCTTCCTCCTTCCTCCTTCCTCCTCCCTCCTCCCTCCTCCCTCCTCCCTCCTCCCTCCTCCCTCCTCCCTCCTCCTCCTCCTCCTCCTCCTTCCTCCTCCCTCCTCCCTCCTTCCTCCTCCCTCCTCCTTCCTCCCTCCTCCCTCCTCCCTCCTCTGCCCTTGCTGCCTCCCTTCTTCCTCGCTTGCCCAACTTAGTCAATCGTCAACCACCCTCCAGCCATCCCTTCACATTTTCTCCTGCTCTCTGCATCTCTTATTCCATCCCTTCATCTACCACTTGCGCCGCCACCTTCAGCAGCACCAGCACCACCAGCTATTACCTCAGCCATGGCAGCCACGTCGACGCAAACGACCTCATCCTGACTCCACCACCCTGATTCACCCATTCTTCTCACCATCTTCTCCTCCTGCTTCGCCACAACCATAACAATAACTAGCGCCGCCGCCGTCATCATCACCACCACAACCACCACCACAACCACTTTCAATCCCATCCCTCAACATTTCCTTAGCTTCCTGCCATATCAAGTCCTGCGGGCTCGTTGCTCGCAGTAAACGTTTGACTTCAACCTGACCATCCATGACAGGTGATCGCCATGGATGCCATGCTCGTTCAGTACATCCGCCGTGGTACTCCTTCCAGCCTCAGGACCCTCCAGCAGGATGCGCTCTGGACGGGGATCCTGTGCGGAGGGTGCGTCATCCTGCTACAGCGGATGAACGTGCTGGATCTGATTCAGGGACCGGGGACATGGAAAGAGCATGCTGTGTGGTCGCTCAGGGGGATCCTGTCGAGGCTGCGGCAGGTGTACAAGGGCCTCTTCCAACCCAACAAGCCCCCGGTGTTGAAGATGCGGCAAGATGTTCCTCCGTCCTTCTGGGACCCTGAGAGGTAGGAGGAGGAAGAGGAGGAGGAAAGGAGGAAGAAGAGAAGGAGGAGGAGGAGGAGGAGGAGTGTGCTTGTGTGCTGATGCAGTCTTGGTAGCCCGTTGATGATCGGACCGGATGTGCCTCCTAGCACGGGGTCGCTCAGCGAGCCCCTGGTGTCGGGGATGTGGAAGGACGAGGATCTCGGGCGGGGGATGCGGTGGGAGCGGGAGACGCGTCCTCTGACGCGCCACCCGTCGAAGCAGGACCTCAAGTACCTCATGGCTCCTCACGGACCCGACAGCCCAGGACGGGGGAGGCCGGACTGGTCGGACATGCTGCACGGGCTCAAGAGCAGCGGGGGGAAGACCGGGCTGAGCCAGAGGTCGACGGGAGAATTGTCCGGGAGCAGGAGCATGGAGATCTTCCCGGACGAAATCTCCGAGGCGACTGAAGAGGATATCGCCCTGGCTAAGGAGAGGTCGAGAGAGCGGGCCCACAACGCGCGATCCGCAGCGTCAGTCCGCGTGTTGGACTACCAGGGCTACCTGCAGCTGGACAAGATTCTCAAGGCGCAGGAGCCCCAGAGCAGGATCTACGACATGGAGGTCCACGACGAGATGCTCTTCATCATCATCCACCAGACGTACGAGCTCTGGTTCAAGCAGGTGCTCCACGAGCTCGACTCCGTCCTCCACATGTTCAGCAGCCTCCCGCACAAGAGCGTGAAGGAGATGGACGTCTCCCTCTGCCTGTCGCGCTCCTCCCGGGTGGTTGAGATCCTCAAAGTTCTGGTCAGCCAGTTCGACGTGCTCGAGACGATGCACCCCCAGGCCTTCAGCGACTTCCGAGATTTCCTTTCCCCTGCCTCCGGCTTTCAGAGCATGCAGTTCCGCCTGGTAGTCACCGTGTCCTGCCGTTCCTCTTTCTCCTCCCCCCTCTCGATCTTCCCCCTTAGCCTTCCTTCCCCCCTCTCCCTCCTCCCTCTTCTTGACTCACGGCACACTCGTTTGCCTCCTCCTGCCATTCTCCGTCCCACTCGTCTTCCAAGATCCTGGCGCAGGCGCGGGAAGTGATCGTGCGGTGCTAGGTGGAGAACAAGCTGGGGATGCGACCGGAGCAGCGGATCCAACACTCGGGATGTCCCTACTACCAGCATCTTGCTCGAGAGGAGGAGCGAGAGGAGGTGAGCTCGACTTTGATGCTTCGATCGTGCTGAAAGACTTTTCCTTGTCCCCCCCCTCTCCCTCTCCCTCTCCCTCTCTCTCTCTCCCTCTCCCTCTCCCTCTCCCTCTCCCTCTCCCTCTCTCTCTCTCTCCCTCTCCCTCTCCCTCAGGTGTTGGCAGCTGAGCGTGAGGTGGGTCTCTTGGACTATCTCGGCGAGTGGCTGGAGAAGGTGAGGAGGGAGGAGAAGATGTGGATGTTGTTGATGCCTGACTTCGAGAAGCTGATGGATGAAGTTTTCAACGACTTCGATTTCGCCGCCTACATGAAGGAAGCGATCGAGCAGGTGAAGGGAAGGAGGTCGATGCCGTTGGAGGTGACTTGGTGCGGTACAGGCTGCTGTTCATGATCGTTCGGCGATCGAGAGATTTCCAACAGTGAGAACGTCCAACAGACACGTTGAGGTGAACGTGTCAATGGCAATATTGATGATGATAATGATGATGATAATGATGATGATGATGATGTGATTGACTGTTGACGTTGTTCTCTGTCGTCCCTGACACTGTGGATGGTCAGAGCAAGGAGAGTGCGCTCAACGGTCTTGAGAAGAAGAGGTAATCTTGTTGGCCTCCCCCGCAATCTCTCACTCCCTCTTGCAGGCTCGCGCACTTGAAACTCTTCGATGAGCAAATTCACAACGAACTCATCAAGAAAGGCATCCGCCAGGTGATTATCTCCATCACCATCACCATGATCGCATGCTGATTTGAGCTCTTGGCAGTTGAGCTTCAAGGCTACGATGGCGTGTGTCTTCGTTCAGTCCTTCTCCCATGAAGCAGCTTTCCAGGTCCACCCCATCCCTCCATGCTCTGTTTGCGATCTCACTGGCTCAATGCAGACAATTCAGCGATTCTTGACGAAATTGATCGAGATCGACGAACTCATAGCAAGATGGCGGCAGAGGTGACTCTCCTCCCGCACATGACGAGTCAAACTTGCTCATCGTATTACCTCAGACATTCGAGTCTTGTGCTCAGAATGATTGGAAGCAAGGATGGAACCGGAGGTAAGTTGTTTCTTTCTCTGCCTCTGCCTCTGCCTCTGCCTCTGCCTCTGCCTCTGCCTCTGCCTCTGCTGCTCCTCTCCTGCTCCTCTCTTCTCCTGTCCTCTCCTCTGCCTCTGCCTCTCTTCCCTTCCCCTTCTTTCTTTTCTTCTTGTAAATTTTGCTGACTGGCTTCATACAGGTTCATCGGGACATGCCTATCTCAACGCAGTAATGCAGAAGTCAAGAATTTTCGTCGGTGAGGAGGAGGACGAGGGGAGGAGGGGCTCGTTCTCACTATGATTACAGATTTGTGCCACTGCTCGCACTATCTCCTCCCTCAACACTCAATGCTTCCCCTCCCTGCGGAGGTCAAGAGGAGGTAACCAAATCGATCCTCGTCATGTTGTCATTCTCTACATTCGCTCTCCGCGTCTCTTCTCTTCCTCATCTCATCTCCTCTCTTCTTCACTCTTCTCGTATCATCCTATTTCCTCCCATTTCATTTCTCTTCTCCTCATCTCCTCTCCCTTTCGTCTCGCCTTCTCCCCTCCTCTCCTTGCTGCTTCTCTATTCATTGGGGTTGACGAGTGCACCTAGGTTGCAAATGAGCTTATCCCGAGCTTCTTCGCATCCCTTCATGAACGAGCTAGGTGAAACAACGTCGGAGAGAGGGACAACAAGATCTGATGACTGTTGGGCAGTCGACTTCAGAGACTAGCAGCAACGCTACCTTCAACCAGCCCCGTCATCCGCCCTTCTCTTTTCTCTCGTGTATATTCTTTGATCTTCGACCCTCATTCACGCTCGATGAAATTCTTTCTACACTTTAATCATTCAAACGTAAAAGTACATGATAGAAAACTGTCTCCCGTCGGAAAACTGTCCTCCTCCTCCTCCCCCTCCTCCCCCTCCTCCCCCTCCTCCCCCTCCTCCCCTCCTGCTACACCTTCTCGCCTCGCCCTCCTCTTCATTCACCAGCCCACTGACACCCCACACCCTTCCACCTTCGCCTCTGACTTCCGCTACTCAAGGTAACCCCGCCGAGCTTGACGGGCCTGCGGGCTGTTCCCGTTAAAGAAGTGAATTTTCCGGGCGAAGGGCGACGGCTGCTGCAGCACCGTCTTGGGCTCCTCCGACGGAAGTCGCAGGAGAGGGACGGGGCTCGCAAAGGAGCCTTGAGGGCTGAGGTCTCTCACAGTGAACCCTCCCGAGCTGAGAGGCGTCAGGCTGTCCGACACGTCCACCTGGAGGCCTGAGATCGGTTCATGCAGCTGGACGTCAGGCCGGGACCGATCATTCCCGTCTTGCTCGATGTCAAGCGTGACATCACTAGGATCCATCACAGGAGAGTGTCCTCCCTCCTCCCTCACGATCTCACTCTCCCCCTGCACGACTTGTCGCACCCCCGCACCTCTTGGACCAACCAGCTCCTCCTCCACTTGGACGTTCCTTCCCTCCTCCACTTCCGAAGGATCCGGGGAAACTTCATCCGAGGGGGTCGCGAGCGATGCCTCAAGAGCTTCTTGAGGAGGCTGCCACTGGTTCAGCTTCCGATCACCTCCCTCTTGCAGCCCTGCGACTGCCATCCTCATCTCTGCAGGACCCACAGCTGGCGATGTGCTGCCACTGCTCGGCGTCAACTTAGGCGTCAGCTTCCAGCTCCGTATCCCCGAGGCCTCGCTCGAAGTTGAGTCCCTGTCCCCTCCCTTAGCACGATCGTGCGGTTCCACTTGAATCGATATGCTCATCGGCGTGCCTCCTGCACTCTGCCGATTGAAAATCTCCTCTTCAGGCAGCGAGATCGAGGTGCTCGGGCCCTCTTGCAAGTCCGCTGATACAACGAGAGTGAGGCAAGAACAAGAGGGAAGGTGGAGCGGGCGGGAGGAAAGAAGTTGAAACCGATGAAGAAAAGGACAGCAGCAGCAGCAGCAGCAGCAGCAGCAGCAGCAGCAGCAGCAAGGGAACAGGAGTGATATGTATAGAAAACGAACCAATCGATTCCTTCACAGCATCAGAAGAATTCTGGACATCCCCTTCGGGAACTGGGACCAAATCTCTCTGCATCTCTGCAAGATACGCAGCTTTCCTCGTCTCCTCCTATACAGCACAAGGTCAGCATCTCGGGTAGCAAAATCGTTCAGTTCCTCGACCTCGGCTTTCTCCTTGGCAGACAGATTTGTAAAGATGACCCCGACGAAGAGAATCAAAACCCCCAAGATGAACATGACCCAGTTTTGCACTGAGAAGTTCACCATTTCCTGCCAACAGAATGACGATGCTGTGTTTGCAAGATTGAACAGTGCAAACCTCGTAGAAGATGGCTCCAGTTATGATGCTCCCAACATTCCAGAAAACATAAAAGTTGGGGATGTGATACAGTGCATCATTCACGGAAAGGCTCTTGTTGATCAAGAACAATTGTGACGGAAGTGAAATACAGAAGACAACTATGATCACGGCAACAAACGGGTCTGTGAACTGATTGCTTCCAGTAATTGAAGGAATGATTAGACCAGAGAAAGCCTTGCCGAACAAAACTGTGAAATCTGCCACAAAAGATGCAACGATGCAATAGACAGCTCCAATCCTCTGCGAATTGGCAGGCAAAAACAGTCAGAGGCACAGGGGCACAACACATGAAACAGCTGATTACCGTGGATGGTCTTTCAATTGCTTCATTTTTTGATCTGGCTTCGTTCCTTCGCTTTACGTAGTCCATCCGCATGATGATGAAGCAAGCACCAATCAAACTTGCGAGAATGCAGAGCATAACTTTAACATTGGTCTTTTTGTACTGATTCACCAGAATCTCGATGGACCAATCAATCTGATTCTTCTCACTCCCAAAGACCGTCAAGAGAATTCCGCAGATGATAATCAATGACGACATGTAATCTTTCTTGCTTGTGTGCTCTCGCAGAATAAACTTGGCAGTGAGCGTGTTCACCTGAATATTCAAGTCCGTTGGTGACTCTGAAAATTGAAGCAGAAACAACTTACCACAAGCGCCCAGCTTCCAACTAGAGTCACAACAGATTGCTTTGATATCCCAAGAGCCAAGAAGTCAAACAAATTGCCAATGGCAAAAATGCAAAATCCCAGCAACCAAGTCCACGGAACCTGAAATACATAAAATCGATAAGATGAAATTTTGCTTTCTACAGCATTAGAGTCGACCTCTTGGAGTAAAGATGCTGGGCAGCAACAACAAGGCCATGTTCCGGATAGCCTATGAGGAATGCGGTTAAGGAGCAGGACTCAGCATCCAAACATGTCACCTCGGTATCTCTTCGACGTGTGCGCTGTCTTCCAACGGGCCAGAGGATGCATGTCTACGAATCTCGTGTCAACCTTCAGCCATTTGCACGCATGGAAAGATTTACATCTCTGCTATCTCGTTCTTCACAAAGTCGTGGCCGGAGGCAGGGGAAACATTCTTTGGGTCCTTGGATCCGTTCGAGACCTCGTCTTGCCTCTCATCACCATTCTCGCTGTTCACACTGTGAGAGGGCGTGTACGAGTGTGCAGGCTCTGCAGCAAGATCATGGTCTTCGATCTCCGAGGTTGCAGGGTGAGTTGTCATCGCATTTGTTGCTTGTTCCCCGCTGTTCTGTAGCCGTTTGAGACTCTCCTTTTTCTCTGTCATTCTTTCTCTCTCCGCTTTTTCCTTGCGGATGTGATGCAGCTTCCAGAGGGACAAGCCAAGGGCCTCCAGAGTGGATCCGAGCAATGCCAGGAGAACGCCATAGAGATAGCATTCATTGCATCCCCCTGAACTGCTCGTGCTCGTTGTGTTGGTAATGGCTGGTTCCGTCATTTCGTTGTTAAGGTTTGAAACAATCACACGAAACGAGTAGGAAGTTCAGTCGAGTAGAAGACTTTCTTGCTTCTTCCATGGCCTACAAGATCTTGCTGGGTGAATCTCCTCGAGCTCGAATCTGGTGTGCCGGAAGGAGCTCTCAAAATTACTGTCTATCAGACAAAAAGTTAAAAATACACATCAGACTTGAAAACCAATGAACATGGAAACATCACTGAGCTGAAATCTGATTCAAGAAAGGTTGGAAAACATCGACATCACACTTGCTCAACTCAAATTGAATAAGGCAGTCAGGATGATATGCCATCGGAAAATTCAAGTCCACAAAATCAGTATCACATCAACTGTTGCACAATTGTAAATGCACAAGTGTATTCCGTAAACTCTGTGAAGTGAAGCATGAAATCACAACAGTGATGGTGGGGGAGGGGAAAAAGAACGAGCACAAGCTTGAGTGTGGACTTGTTAAGTGTTTCATGCTGGATCTGAACATCAACTCAACTCTGATCTGATCGACATCTCGAGGAGATCTCTAAATTGACCACACCAAACCTGTTTCATGAAGACAATCTCACCTTCTCTTCCCCTTCTTCTTCATCGCGCCCACCAGCTCGCTCCATTTGCAGGAGGAAGGACCATTGGGAAGGTTTGCGGAAGGGGAATAAAGGGGGTACCCCATTGGTGGGTTAGCACGGGTGGGTTTGAAAAATAGGGTGGGGTACCAGGGTGGGGCGCTTGCGGCAGAAGAGGAGTTGGGGGTAGGGTAGTAGACTAGGAGGGTGACACAACGGGTACCAGGGAACAAAGATTGCACAGAAATGCACGGGTACTGGAGAGGAAATGGGGGTAGGGACTATGGCGGGTAGGGTAATGGACCCCACTGGGATCAACCAGAAAATGCAGTTCGTGAGTTTCATTTGTGGTGGGGGTAGTGGGAATACGGGTAGGGGTGATGTGTTAAGTTCAAACACAGGAGGTGGGTACTTGAAGGAACTCGGTGGGGAAAAGGGTGGGGTGGGTGTTCTGGGGGGAAAGGGACAAGGAACTGGGGAGTTGGCCCGGGTGGGGGAAAAAATGCTGAAAGGTCGACAGATCAGATTTGGGTGGGTAGGGTGGGGGGTAAAGGAGGGGTACAGACTGGGCATTTTGAAAGTTGAACTTTGGAACAGAGGGTAGTAGCCAACGGGGGTAGTGGAGGGGTGGGGGTAGCTGAGCCGGGCTGCACAGCATGAGCTGTTCGAAGAATCCACTACAATGTGACAGGGTGGGGTAGTTCAGATTACGTGTTGACACTATGTAGGTACCGGTGGTAGTGCAGAGTGCGCCGGATGTGAGGACCCGGGTGGTAGAGGGAGAAAAAGACCCGTGCACGAAGATGAAGTGGTGTTAGAGATAGGGTGGGGTAGCTGATCAGTTTTCAACTTTTCTGGCATGGGGTCGTGACTTGGGGGTTGTCGCTCTGAGAGTGATGGGCTCCAAGAATATTTAGAAACTTTCTCTATAATTTTGAAATCTGAGAATAATCTTTGGAATAGAATACAGGTTTTCCGAAGTTCAGTCGCCGTCGCTCGCCGAGTGTCACCCGGAGTCGGACAGCCGGGCCGGGCGGGCCTCCGAGTCCGGGCCGCGCCCGCGGCCGACAAACCAGTAAAGAAGGATCTTGAGATCCATTGCACTTTGTACCAAGAATAATTAAGTAGCAGCTTTTTCCATTTTAAAAGGGAACAATGGTACACATTATAGATACAAAAAATCCTTTTTTCGTATCTATGTAAAATATCTTGGTAACATGAGACTATCTGAAGATTCATTTTAGGTACAAATTGCATTATACAATGATTATACGGAAGCTGGTTCCGTCATAGAACCTTTGTACCGTAGTTTTTAAAAACTCAAAAATGTGACAAAAATGGTTGTAAACCATGGGCGCTTGAGAGCTGGCGTGAGAGGAGAGAGGAGAGTGGAGCATGGAACAGGGAGCAGGGAGCAGGGAGCAGGGAGGAGCAGGACAGCATTGAAAAATGAGGAAGTTCACTTGTAGATTGAGATGGGAGAAAGCCAGCGTTTGGGTTGAGCAAGAGTCTCGGGAAAAGAAAGCAGATTAGGCGGGAAAGACAGGGACCTAGTCGGCAGGTTAGGTACGCGCTGGAACGTTTGGGCGCTTTTGAAGTATCAAATAATGCAGACACGTTTATGTAGAGCAGACGAATATGGACGTGGTGTGGAGGGAAGTAAGCAGGAGGGAAAGAGAGCACAAGTAACGATATAAAACAGTGAAAAATGATGGGGGAGGAACTTATAGTGCTTGTCCTAGGCCTCGTCTCGTCACCCTTCCTGCATGATCATTCTGGTCCTATAAATATCCTAGGGATTTTTTATCTCCCATGCTGAATATTCAGAGATGGACTCGAGGATCCAGCCGCACTCGGCAGGGAGCATGAACGCAGGCGGGCAAGAGGAATTTCAGCACCTAGCGTACCCGTCGACAGAGCTCATGGAGAAGGAGCCCTGTACCGGCGTCTCTGTGAATGGGAGGAATGAGGGAGCGAAGGGCGAAGGCATGCAGCTCAGGAAGAGAAAACCCTCCCTTGTAGGAAGGAGGAGTGTATCACCACCGAGGAGAGGAACTTCGAACCGATCGATCTCACAGGAGGAGGAGAATGAAGCGCCCACGCGCCCACGCACTCTCTTCAAGACCTTCCCCGGCGTCTTTCTCTTCTGCTTCTGGGTGGTTGAGTTTGGGATCCTCGTTCACCTCCTCCCCCTCATCACTCCGTACGATTGTGTGGCTTCCCAGGAGGCTGAGCAACTGCATGAGGCGCTCAAGAATTCCAAGATTGTGAAAGTGATGATTGCACTCATCTTTGGGATCTGCATCATGTTAGACTTGTCGGGCATTGTGATCTCCATCAGCCCAAAGAAGAAGCAGTTGAACAGCATGGTGTTGTTCATCAACTCCGTCTCCTTCAGCATTTACATCTCCACCATCTTCGACGTCATGCCGACAATCTGCGATGTCAACGGAAAGCCCATCCCGATATTTGTTTATGTGCAGTGGATACACACAACACCTGTCATGATCATAGTTCAGTCTGCTTTGGGGATGTCCATGGAGGTTCGTGGCTGTTCACGATGCATTCAGATCTGACGCACGCTCAGGAGGATTTTGTGAAGGATTGGAAAGCTGTTTGCTGGACCATCTTTTGGGATGAATTGATGATGGTCCTGGGTAATAACATCACAGGTTTCACATGCTTCCATGCTCACGGTTGGACAGGTATCGTCCATACCTTCCTGGACCAGCACTGGATAGGGTGGGCAGCTTTCTTTGCCTCCTGTTTGAGCTTCGTGCTAGTTTGCAGAGGAATCCATCATCTGTCAAAAGCAAGGTGATAGAATCGTCAGCGCAAGTCTCCCGCTAGTCCACCCTCACTCTTGTTTCAGCGCAAACAACGCCGCTACCACCTACGAGATGACGTCGATTCAAGGCCTCGAGATGCTCACCTACATGCTGTGGTCTGCCTTCCCTTGCATTCATTTCTTGCACTACATGGGTGAGTTTCTATATTGGTCCTACAGAGAGGGAGAGGTGTTCTTACTGACGTGCAGGATTCATTGACGGCCTGTATTACGAGATCCTTCGCTCATTCGTCGATGTCACGTCGAAGTTGATCTATTCAGGTCAGTGCAGACAGACAGTGTTGCTCTTCGTGACTCCTTCAATGCTCCAGTTGCTCTGCTCACCGGAAATTTTTGCGTTTTGGATATTGTCGCAACGTTGCGACTAGCACAGGTGAGAAAAGGGGAACATGGGTGTGGGGATGGCGGAAAAGTAGTAGTTTGAGGTGTGGTCAGAGGAGGGGGAGGAGCAGGAGGAGGCGAAAGATAATCATGAGATTCCTGCTGCAGGTTCAAGCAGAGAAGGAAAGAGACTCGAAGCATAACGCTGTCGTGCGTGCCGAGGTCTCCTCAGCCTCGATCTTCAGGCATCTGAGCTGCCATGCAGGCCATGAATCGAGCGCTTCAGATGGCGTACCTGGAGGCAGAGACTTCAGCCCGCCTCGCCCGTCAGTTCCTCGCCAACATGAGCCATGAGCTTCGCACTCCCCTCAACGCCGTCATCGCCTTCACTTCCCTCGTCCTCGACTCCCGCGACCTCAGTCCCCTCCATGAAGAGTACCTCTCCTCCTCCTTGACCTCCGCCGAGGCTCTCCTTGGCATCATCAACCAGGTCCTGGACTTCTCCAAATTTCATGCGCAGGAGGAGGAGGAGGAGGAGGGAGGGGAGGAAGAACGACCCAAGTCGTCCGACGCTCGGCCCTCGCTAGTTCAGCTCAACATCCAGACGTTCGACCTGCTCAAAATCTGCGACGAGATCTGCGACATTCTGGCAGAGCGAGTGAACGCGCGCGACGTCGACTTTGCGGTGGAGATCTGTCCACTGCTGCGGGGGGAGAAGGTGCCGAAGCTGCTGGGAGACCCGGTGAGGCTCCGCCAGTGTCTCGTCAACCTCTGCGACAATGCCGCCAAGTTCTCCAAGGATACGGGGGGTCAGGCCCTCTTGTCCGTCGAGGTGGAGGAAGGAGCCTTCGGCGAGCTGCTGGTGCTCGCTCAAGTCTGGGACAACGGCGATGGCATCCCCAAGGACAAGCAGCCGCTCCTCTTCGTTCCTTTCTCGCAGGTCCCCCCCCTCACCCCCCCCCCCCACACACACCAAGCATCTCTGCTGCTGGAGTGTTTGACATGGTACCAGGTGGACTGCAAGTACTCCCGCAAACATGGCGGGACGGGGCTGGGGCTCGCGATCACCAAGAAGATCGTGGACGCTATGGAAGGTTCGATCGAAGTTTTTAGCGAAGGACCAGACAAAGGGTCCACCTTCACCATGCAGATCTCGTTCCCCGTCGCCGCCGATGGGGAGGAGGGGCTGCAGCAAGGTTCTCCTCTACGTATGACCAAGCTGAGGTACGATCGTCTCTTTCGCCTCCCCTCTCCCCCTTTCCCTGTCTCCCTCCTCCTCTCCGTCTCCCTCCCTCCTCTCCACTCTCCCCCTTCTCTCTCCGCTGATCACCCCATCGCAGCGGCTGTGTCAAGGTGCTGTTGCCCAAGGGTCCCGGCCAAGAGCTCGCGGTCAAACTTTGCGAATCCTGGGGACTGAAGGTGGACAACTTTTGCTACGAGCAAAATGCGGTGCCATCGATAGGCAAGATCCGGTCGCTGTTAAACAGCTTCGAGTGGAAGGGAGAAACCAAGGTCGTGCTGCTCATCGACTCCAAGATCCACTCCCTCCTCATCGACGAGAACATCCAGCTGGCAACTGGCAAGAACATCCTCGTGGTCGGCAGCCTCGACCACCTCTGGGAGCAGATGCAGCGGGTGCGGGTGGATCCTGCTAGGTTCCTCCTCCGTCCCATCAAGTCCTCTCTCTTCCGCCACAAGCTGGAGGCTGCTATTGCTCTCTCCAGCACCACAGACTCGCACCTGACCGTAGAGTCCATGCGCACCTCGTTCTTCAAGGAGGTTCAGTTCGGGACGAGGCTCGACTTCCAGTACGACTCCAGCATGCCCACTCATGTTCTGGTGGTGGAGGTAGGGATTCTCGTTTCCTCTCACTTGCTCTGCTCTGAGTTTGTTCTCCCTCGCCCTCTTCCTCGTGCTACTCGTGCTGCGTCCTCACCTTCGTCCACGTCCTCCCTCCTCACACTGGATGCAGGACAACCCGGTCAATCAGAAAGTTGCGGTCGCGATGGTGCAGAAGACTCTCGGTAAGTGACTTGAGGGGGGGGGGGGGGAGGCAGCGCATGACGAGGAACATCAGGACGGGAGCATGTGATTGTTGACGTCGCAAACAACGGTGAGCAAGAGTCTCGCCACGTTCGAGTTTTGTGCCTTCCTCGTCCTCATCCTGTGCCTTGATTCGCATCCCCCTCGTGCTGCACCTTGCTGCCTCCTCGGCCTCCTCTGCCTCCTATTCTCTTTCTCCTGCCATGACGTGCTGCTCTTCCAGGTCGGGAAGGCTTGGCCAATTCAACAGAGCACGGCCACAAGTGAGTTAGCTGGCAGGGGTGCTGGAGAAACTGACGAGGAGCAGGTACGATCTTATCCTCATGGACGTCCAGATGCCTGTCATGGACGGCTTGGAGGCCACGAGACGCATCAGGGAGTGGGAGAAGGTGGGTGGAGAGTCTGTGCTAGACCAGCTCTGACATGGGTGCAGTCGCATGCGGGGGAGGCTCCATACTTCATCGTTGCGGTCACAGCGCATGCCAGCAAGATGCATGTGGAAGAATGCTTAGAAGCAGGTGAAGTCTTCACTTTACTCCTCTCACCCTGCAGTCTCCTTCCTCTCCCTCCCCTCCCCTGAAGGATCCCCTCAGGAATGAACAGGCACGCGAGCAAACCGCTCACCCTCGTGTCGATGAGAAGAGTTGTCGAGGAGTATCGCGATTGGCGCGTCAAGATGTTCAAATCTTGTAAATAGCGAAGATTCACCAACATCGATATTGTTTCTCTACAAAGAACAGCCCATTCACAAACAAACCTGCCGCCACATTCCTTCCATTTCCTCTGAGCAGGAGCGAGAGAGAGCGAAGGGCGGGGGCTTTAGAGGAGGAAGGAGTCAACGGAATGTCTCCTGGCACCGGCGGTGTCAGGCATGAGGCAGACCAAGGAGCCAGCAGCGAGGGGGGAGAGGTTCAGCAGGTCGGGGATGAGGTCAGGGTTGAGCCCCTGCAGGGTTGTCATGTTCATCCCGAACCTGCTCGAGAGCCTCGTCCAGGTATCCCCCACCTGCGACAGGTACAGATTCCCGAGCCTGATCCTCTGACCGACCAGCAGCTCGTCCGGGGAGAAGAGCTGGCGGTTCGATGACCAGATCTGCGTCCAGTCGGTCTGGTGGCGGTAGGCGAGGCTCTGGAGGGAATCGGAGGAGGAGATGCAGTAGAAACATTTGTCGACCGAGTACCTCACCTGGGCATACTCGCAGCTCCCTCGCCTCAGCAGCTCAGCCACGAACGTCCGCGCGTTCCCCGCCATGTCCATCTCAGGCGTCCAGCGGATCTGGAGGGAGTGAACTTTGACGTATCCCCACTCCCTCGCGTCGATGAACTGATCGCCGTTGGTGTCCAGCAGACTCACGAGCTTGCTGCGCATGTCCTTGCTGTAGTTGAAGGCGCCGGCACGCGAGAACTCCAAGCGGGAGAGCACGCCATTGCTGTCGGCGTCAAGAAAGGAGACGAGGAGGTAGGGAGAGGAAACTTTCATCATTCTGTAGGCTCTCAGCGCCTCTTGCGCGTCCAGCACGCCGTTCCCATCCACATCGAAGGTGTCGAAGATGACAGTGCGATAGATGAAGTCCCCTTGACGGCTCCACTCCTACACCATCAGGTCAGGACCAGCAGAGTCAGCCCTCAGAGGAAACCTGCTTTGACCGCCTCCCATCCTTGTTCAAGTCCAACTGATTCACAAGGTCATAGCGAATGGCGCTGGCGTTGGTCAGGCCCAGGGCCCTTTCAAACTCCAGCACCTCACTGTAGCTCAGCGAGAAATCGCCATTGAGATCGAAAACATTGAAGAGCACGTCGGAGTATGGCAGAGGGTAGCTGGACGACGTCGACACGTCAACAATGGAGCCTGGAGGAACCGAGTCCCGTTCGATGCTGTCCATGCTCAAGGTGCTCCATATCATGCTGAAGTTGACTTGGATCAAGGTCTCGCAGCCGGGCGACGTGAATTCCAGAGAGAGGTTGTAGGGTAGAAGTGGGCATTCAATCAAGGCTGTACAACACCCAATCCATGAAATGAACACAATCGCTGCATACCCTATCCTCCCACTCCTTTGCAACATAGTTGAGCGCTTGTATTCTATATCCCTTCCTTGTAAAAGCTTTTAGATTCTCTCTCCTCTCTCCTCTCCTCTCCTCTCCTCTCCTCTCCTCTCCTCTCCTCTCCTCTCCTCTCCTC